CAAGTCTGCGCTGAAAGGGACCAGGTTCGAGTCCGTGGATGCAGTGAAAGCAAAAGCGACGCAACTCTTGAAGAGCATAACACAAGATGACCTGCAGCACTGCTTCCAACAGTGGAAAATTCGCATGGAGCGGTGTAGGGATCGGGGAGGGGACTACATTGAAGGGGATAACATTTCGACTGTCTGATTTTTTTTTAATAAAGGGTTAGAGCATGAATCCGGTTTCTTTATTGCCACACCTTGTATATATTGTGACGTATCGCACTATGTAGGACATATAAAGTAGATGAATTTCCTTCTAATGTACATGCCACAAACTATACAAAATAAAAGTGTTGTAACAGCACAATAATATACATCTTTATGTACAATAAAAACTGAAAGTACAAGGGCTATTCAGAAAGTAAAGATACAAGTCCAGTAAAACTGCAAGGGAATTAATCAACAATTGCCTTCTCAGAATGCAACGAGGACAAAACTGATGTACCCAGAGTGTTAGGGAAATTGCAACGCAGATTGGCATTGGCCATAATGCAATGCAGATGATGATGATGATGATGGTGGGATATCAGAAAGTCTGTTGTCGTTGGGTTCTGCAACTGCTGATGGAAGAACACATAAGAGCACGCATTGCAGTTGCTTCAACATGCCACTGATAATGGCAACTTCCTACTGAACATCCAGACTGGACATGAAATTTGGTTCCACAATTTTGACCTCAAAACAAAATGACAGAATCAGGGTGCATCTCCTTGGCTGGAGAATTTACAGGAACAGTTTTCTGAGATGCTGATGGGTGCCTATTCATTGATTTACCTGTTCAGATGCTCCAGAAACTGTCATATGCACTTAAGGATAAGTGCCCAATGAAAAGACACATACATCAACAAGATAATGCAAACCTGACACCAGGGAAGATTGAAGAGTTTGGCTGAGAAGTGCTTCCCCAACCTCCCTACAGTCTGGGCTTGGACGCTTCAGACTCTCATCTGTTTGGACCCTTAAAATATCACATGGAAGGCCAGCACTATGAAAATGATGTAGTCTAGTAAACTGCATTCATGGTTGCGAAATACTGAAACAGACTTCTACTGTAGTGGCATATTTAAGCTTGTACATTGCTGGTAGAAATGCATGGATTGTTCTGGGCATTTCATATGATAGTGACAGAACCTCTCCAGTAAACTCAAAACAGTATGTTATTCTATATGTACCTTTGCTTTAAAATAAAATGTGCCTTTTGGTATGGTTGTATAGACTACTCCAGTAAAATCATGTCAAGAGCTCTAGTCTGAAACTAACAGGATAAGGCCAGAGGCTGGGGCATCAGTGATGTGACAACAGCACAGCAATACTGTGAACTCCAACCCCCTCTCCACTTTGTCTGTTGGGAAAAGAAGTTCAGGAAGACAACAGAATACACTGTAACTGTCAAGCAGGACAGTTATTAATGAGTTGTGCTTGGAGCCTGGTCTCTAAGAAATACAAGACAAGCAAACCTATGTACAATATAGCCATCAGAATGACAGTTAAGCACTCAGCATGATTCCACATGGTAATCATGAGTTTTATTTTAAATCTGTATCCTGAGCTACACTCAGAGTATTGCAGAATTACTTAAATTAAGAAACCACCAGTACATCGGTTTGCAAGATTGAGCCGTGTCAATCGACCCTGTGGGTAAAGAACCGCGTTCTTCTACCCACTTTGATCCGTGAATCCCTTCTCTATATGGCTAAGGGACAGGCTCATAAGAAACGACTTGCTTGTTAGCGTGATGCACTATGCCTCCCTAGGATTGAGTAAGGGATCTCGAGGGAGAAAAACCAGTCAGTAAGAAGGGCCAGGCTGGACGGATCCACTAGGCAGGAGCTGGTATGGAACATACGGCACAAGTATACATATACTCAACTGGCATTCTCAAACATATATATATATATATTGATAACATAAGTATACAAATGAACCCCGCCTGAAGGGCAGTGACTGGTTAAAACATATGATAGCTAACTGATGCAGAATTACACTGCGACCAACAGCACAGCAACTCAACTAGGCCACGCCTCATGGCGTATTCCAAATTCCCCAGTACAGCATGTACTCGATCAAGCCTTCGTAACACAAGGAAATATAAACAGCTCGAATATACTACTGAACACGTCTGAAGGGCGATCTACTGTTTATCACAACCTTTAACAGAACCAAAATTACACTATGCCACACAGTGTCTATAATCAACCCAAAAATGCGCCTTACGGCGTACACCACTTCAGTAAGTCACTTACTTGTATTTTGGCCAAACAAAACTCAAAGATTTACCTCACGACTGATCCACCCTTGACCAGATTGTGAGGGCACTCCTCCCCCTTCGATCTGTGCTACCTGCCAAAACCGAATTTCAAACACAATCAATTCAACTTTCTCGAAACAGAATTTGAATGTAGCGATGCTTTCAGACGATGGTCTGTGGGAAGAGAGAATGTTAGCTTCACTTGGGCTAACCATGAAACCTTGGGACACATTCAGGAGGGGAGGGAAAAGGACAGCTGACCTGACGTCAGTCAAGGATGTCAGTTGGAAAGAAGGGAACGGCTCACATCCTGGCGTTTTGGGGGGGCGACTCCAAGGAACTTAACGGAGATGAACCGTTACACAGTTCAAGATACATCAAAATCTGACGTTCATTGCCCACAGCTTAATAGTCATCCAACTAGTTGAATGAGTGTGATGGGGCATAGGGTCTTAGGATATTACAGAGAGGGTGGCCAAAGTTACAAGTCTGTGAGCTATCTTCATCTCTGCATACAGTTCACATTTGTTTCTGGAACGTGTCTTTGTTGTTCAGGAGTCAATTTTTTCTGTTTGCTGTATTCTGTATTTTGATATCAATGAATATATTAATTAGTTGTAAAACAGCACCTAAGGAATTGTTAATGACCTACCTTCCCTTGAGACTTATAGTAACCCAGTAATAAGTCAGCTGATCACAGTGGCCACGCGGTCTAAGGCATGAACTATCTTTGCCTGCTTGAAAGCAGGGACTGTAGGTTTGAAGAGGCATGGAAGTTTGCATTTATTCTGTGTTTGTGTAGGTAGTGGCCTTACAATGGGTTGGTCCCTCATCGAAGGAGTACTACCAATTGTCTTAGGGTAAAGAAACTACAGTGAAACAAAGTGTTTCATGGATACCGTGTGCTCAAAAGTGAGAGCAACAGGAACAAGACTAATAAGTCACAAGAATAATGATTCATAACAACACTTGATGGGTCTGTATATGTGAAATACAGCATTATATCTACGAGGGTTGAAACTTTAATAGTGAGAACTATTTATATACAACTGATACAAAATAGATGCATGTTTTGAAGTCTTACTGTCCTTCAGTATAGTCACCAGCATTGCGTACAACCCGTTGCCAGCAATGTGGAAGTCGTAGGATACTTTTAGCAGCGCCTGTTGTGTTGATAGTTCGAACAGAGCAGTCTACTGCCTGAAGAATCTCTGAAACAGTTCTGAAGCGAATGCCACGAAGTGGTTCCTTCATCTTAGGAATCAAGTCGAAGTCACAAGGGCTTAAAGTCCGTGGAGTATGGTGAATGGTACAGCACTTCCCAGTTCCACTGATCGAACAAATCAGCCACAGCCTGCCTGCACTGCATGTGGCCGAGCACTGTCCTGCAAAATGATGGGTGGGTTCTGCAGGAAGTGTCGCTGCTTCTTTCTCAAAGCTGATCACAGGTTGTGTTCCAAAAATGAACAGTAATACTGCGCATTGACGGTCTGCTGTCGGGGAACAGTATGCTTTAGGATAACACCATCACAGTCGTACACGATAATCACCATAACTTTCACACTGCTGGAGTTCTGACGAAATTTTGATTTTTGTGGTGACCCGTAATGAGGCCATTTGTTGGATTGGCATTTCATTTGTGGCTTGTACGATTTGGCCCATGTCTCATCAAGTGTAATGATACTCGTATGGCATAAGCTTCTCCTTCACGCTCATAGTGCTCCAAATGGTTACGAGCAGCGTCGTATCATAGCCATTTCTGCATTTCCATCAAATCATGCGGAACCCATCGTGATGCAATTTTTCTCATGCCCAGGTGTTCCTTCAGAATGTGAAGCACAGTCGTACGCACTGATCCTCTCTCGGGCCAGCTCACGAATCGTATGGCGTCGATCTCTCCCCAGTAACGCGTAAAGAGCATACACTTCTTCACTGACACTAGGATGACCTGGCCGACGCATGTCTGCCACATTTTGGCGTCCCTCATTGAAGGCTTTTACCCACCTTGCCACTGTTCTGTAAGGCAATGCAGGTTCCCCGCAAGCCTCTTGAAGACCTTGATGATACTGTCATGCTGTACAGCCTCTGGCACATTCAATCTCTATCCAACTCTGTTGTTCCTATTTCAAAAACATTGTGACAACACTACATTAGACTACCAGCTAACACGAGGCTCTGTTCTTCTCGTCATTGCGCATGCACATGATGTGGGAAGGGAGAGTCCGTTTGCTCTGAGGTAAGGTAGGTATGTAACTAACGTGTGGTATAAGCGACATTATTTGGTTCCGTTGACGGCATCTCTACAGCAGTGTTGCCACTATTAAAGTTCCAACCCTTGTATAAGACTGCTTAAATTCACACCTCCGTGAATAGCACGAGATATATTTGAGTAAAACCTTATCTGTGTAGGGCTTATGCTTCATGCTAATTTCAGGCACACTCAACAAGAAAATTACCATCTTTTGTTGTGCCATATATGTATGACTGATGCCATTAGTCACCTCAATAGTACAACCCTACAAGGGAATAAACAGTAATATAAAAGACATGGCTTGAAACCACACTGGGAAACGTATCTTTACAGAAGACCTATCCAGAATTATGCTTGGTCCATACTTGGTACCATATCACAATTCTAATGAAGTTACAGTCAAAAAAACAAATGGACAAAGACATCAAGTAATGCTGTACATAGGATACATTAAACAAACAAAAAACTAAGCTTTACTTAAGGTTAAAACTTGTAGTGCATTTGTCAACATTATATTAGTCGTTTCTGTTCTTCAGAGGAATCTAAATATAACCATATTTTACAAGACTGGATTACCAGCCAACAGTTAAGATAGAGGGACCAATGTACTCTTCAAGAGGACCGAATGATGATGATGATGATGATGATCTAGAGTGGAATTTTCTCCACACAGGATGTAGGTATTCTGTCATGACTGTCATTAGGGCCTCATGAGATGCATCACATACTCAGTGTACCGTTACGTACAGTTAGCTTTATATCAGAGACCTTCCAGAACATGAGACTTACTTTTACAAATCCCATTTTCTGGAACATTAATATACTCTTTTCATTGACACAGCTTATTTTTGCCTGGAATTTTTCTATAGCCAATTCCTCACAACCTGGAATAAAATAAGGTTACTGTGAAACCTGCCATTCCATTCAGACCTTACATGAAAACAGGACAGGATGATTCCATCAAATACAGAATGTCTGGTTATTCACATGGAGGAACTGAAAAGGAATTGGAATATATAGAACTGATATCTGTAACAAAATTACTCATGAACGCTGACCTGTTCTTTATTAGAAATGTTACATTTTAACTGCATGCTTGAGGTCTAACTGTATGTGACACTAAAATACATTTCTAAGAGCTACAACCTATAGAAACCTGATTTTGTTAATCTCACAGACACCCGCTCACACTGGTTCATCCCTCGCAGATTTCTTATACCCTGAAGGTGGAGGCAATATGTTCCTCTGAAACGTTGGTTAAGAAAATGTCCACAGGGTGCCACATCCCAGAAGATGCCATTCTTCATATTCTAGTCAATTCGACATTGGTAATTACTGTGACTATCAACTGATGGTGTTTTAGAATTTAAGCACCTCATGTAAAGTCTGCCTTGGTTGTCTAGTGGTAACACTCACCACCAGCTCCAAACTTGGCTAAAGTCAATGGATTTTTAATGGCAACAGAAATCTGTAGCACAACAATGTGGAGATGCCATGTTGTCGAATTATGGCATGTGAGAGGACCTGTGACTCATGAAACGAGATGAGTGAAGGCAAAATCTGATGCCATTTTTGGTTGCCCACAAAGCTGCAGTTGCACAACTGTGGGGACCTCTGGCAGGAATAACTTGAAATCACCCAACCCAAGTGAAGTATGCTGGACAATTGGATAACCTAACTAACCCAAGTGGGGTCTGAATAGAAAATCAGTTATAAATGACTTAACTGACAAATGTGCAGTATTAGAAACCAACCACATCTCATGTAATGTGTCAGCAGTCCTACTAAAGGAAGGTCAGTGTTTGTTCATCAGTGATCTTATCACTGTAGGAAGTGAAATACAGTAAAACTTGGTTATAGCAACATCGGTTTCTGCGACACCTTGTCTATTGTGTCAAATATTCAATGGTACGAACTAATTCCTCATAAAGCAACTGTTTTTATACCTTGCTTAGTACGACATGCACAAATGCATCAACCTCGTATGTAACGTCACTTTCATTCCTGAATTTCTCTGATATGGACATTGAACGTAATTTAGAAAGTGTGTATTGGGAAAGTAACAGGAAACAGATGAAGATAACTGATTACTGTACTCGTATCTAGGTACAGTAAGGCACAACAATTGATGTAATCTACTGTAATTTGGTGAGTAGGCCTACCTTTAATATACAGTATTAGTGCGGTGTGTATTGTCAGTGAAAAGCGCTGTAATATGTCTTTGATATTACACATTTGGGCAATTCCACGTTAATGTTCAGTTAGTCTGTACTTAACTATGTATTTCACTAAAAAATGCAACATTTTAACTCGGTTTTGGTAGATTTTTACGTGACTAACATAAGGCTACTGTGGAAGTGCCCATTTCGGTTACAACGACATTCATTTATAACAACACTATTTTTATGTCCCTTTGATGACGTTATAACCAAGTTCTACTGTAATTTCATGATAAAATGAAACGTACAATTTAACTGATTGGAAGAAGAATCCAAAGTGTGAGTACTGCTAATACCAGAGCCCATTACTGTACACAATCTTCAGCTAGATCCACCATCATAATCTACTCAGATTTGCCTACTCTGTGCCCATGATTCAACAGGTTTCCCTGGCAAAATTTTCTATATTTTCTTGTGCTGCAAACTCCTAGATTTCACTATCCTAACACCACAGGAACTCTATAAATCACAAAGATCATTTTAAACACTATCCTTGTCCCATTTTTGGCTTAACACATTTGTAAGCAATGTGTTGTCTAACAATTGCAATTTTGTGTTTCCTCTCAGTAACAATGCAGTTCACATACAAAACCAGTGAAGATCCTGTTGGTTTATCTGTCTTGATTTTTAGCAGTTTATAAAGTACACAGGATAGTAACAGCTTCCAAATAACTAGCATTTGCTGAATTTCACATTTCTCCAGATTCGCCCAAGAACTCCATTTATATTCCTCACTGTTGTTTCCAGACATATTTGCAAATATTTTCAAATTATGTCAGGTTTCTGTACTATCGCACAACACGTGATATATTGGCCGTTAGTTAATAAGTAATTACACTGAATGTTCCAGTCTTTCTGACCATCTTCAGGTCTACACATATAAAATCACAATATATTACGATTTTGCTGAATGTGATTTAAAATGGATCCATTTTTGGTCACTATGGTTGAAGTTAACTAAAAAGCCGCCTAATTAAAAAGGTAACATCGCTGCACTTAACTAATTAAGCACTATGCCATGAAGGTGTATGGGGGAATGGATGTAAAGATCCATGTTTCCTTGACTTCAGCACTAGTTGGAAGTGTGGTCAGATACATGCCCTTAAGTTCCCTAACTGGAGTTGCAAAATGTAAAATTTACAGTTTGTAAAGCTGTAAAAATACATAAAACACGTGAATATACAGGATGGTATTCTGAGTGGTGTATTCGTATTTTTATGTGGATTTGTGGTATTATTCCTCTGTACGTGTACACAGCGTAGCTGTAGATAGTGTTACTGCTGGTATGTTCAAAAGATCATAATGTTCTCTTACATGCTTCTTTCCTGCATGTATCTGCTATACACAGGAGGAACATTTATGGAATGTTATTCTTGTTATAGATTTTTAGGTCTCTGTGGATTATTTTTACATGTGGGTGTGTGGATGTTAATATGCAGTACTGTAGGTTTTGCAGTATATTTATGATGAATGTAGGTATTTAGTGTGTACATGGTCTGTGTGCTGTGGATACTTTTATGTGGGCTGAATTTTCTGAACTATAAAATATACTGTGATGTGACTCTGGCTATATGAATGTTGCTGATTTTCGCTTTGTGCTTTGCTTATACATCCATGGGTATGTGAATAGAAAGAACAGGACAGACACACAGCATTACATAATAATACAGAGAGAATCATCTACCATAACGTAACATAAGTAGCATTGCTTCCCATCCACGTCTCTTTCTTCTAGCGCTGTTTTCGGCTATCATAATTTCTGCTTCAGCCAACTTCATGCAGTCCTCAGACTGGAAGAAAAAGAGATTTGTATCTCCAATCATAGCACCTGTAAATTAAAGCACTGTTAATTACAACAGTTACTAAAGAAGTGCATATGGTAGCTTAGTTGGTTGAGGCACTATGCTACAAGCCGGAAGGTCACGTTTCAAGTCCTGATTTTTTCAATTGACCAAATCCCTCCAGCCACACTATGGCCCCGGAGTCAACTCAGCCTCTAACAGAAATGAATATTCTTGGTATATTCTTGGGGGTAAAGGGCGACTGGGGCGTGAGGCTGACAATCTTACTGCCATTTATGTGCTTCCACGGCCTTTTACAGGGATGCCTTTACTTAATTTACTACAGAAGTTAGTAAAAAACACATAAAGCTAACCCTGTAACAGCTTGTGGAGGCACATACTTTAGTGAGATGTTGAGGTTCCCACATTTTCTAGACCATCAGATCGCAGATGGCGGTGGGGTTGTCAGCCTAAGTGCTGGCTGCCCTTTACCTCCAGGAAGATTCCTGTCTGAGTACAGGTGTGAATGCGTGGTAATGAATTACAAATATGATATTGCACATCAGGGCTCTCCAACTTCAAACCAATGAGGGACAACACTGTACCTCGTACCTTACTTACCTACCCATGGGCTGCAGCATGAAATATACATATTCTTTCGAATTATAGGCCCAATGACAACTATCTTCCTTGAAACAATCAGATCTACAAAGCACAAATACATATGTAAGAACTGGACCCCTTAAGTTAAAAAATATTTATATTAAGTTAAATGCTGCAAGGTTAACAGCCCTTAAATTTTTGCTGGCTTTATCAGTGTCTTATGCTATTATAAAGTGACACTAATTCTAATAGGATTCATGGAGCATGAATCTTCAGCTTGATCGGGCCCTGATGAGGAGGGTTATGTCTCACATTGGTGTCAGTGATGCATTGTCTATTGTGACGGAGGGTTACACGAGGCAAGGCCTCCATCTAAATTCTCGAGGCAAGGAGAGGCTTGCACATCTTATTGCCGGGAGGGTTGTTAGTGGTCATGTGTCGAGTTTATGCAGCATTCCTATCATAACCAACGCTAGAGCCTCTCCTTTTTTAGCCTAACATCAAAAGGACACAGGTGCTTAATATATATTAAATGTAGTTCTGCAATTTTTTAAACTCACAAGCAAAATGCAGAATCATCAAATTCAATAACTATCTTACACCAGAATATCAGAGGATTAAGAAGCAAAAGTGATGAATTAATGCACTTCTTTGAAATAGACTCCATTAAAACTCATATATTATGTTTAAGTGAGCATCACATGGTTGAACAGGACCTGCTGCACCTCTCAGTGAATGGTTACCAATCAGGATCCAGGTTTTGTCGAAAAGGACTACAGAGGGGAGGTGTGTGTATTTTTGTTAAGAAAGGTCAACATCATCATCATCATCATCATCAGTAATCTGTCAAGACGACAGGTCCACAGTCTCTTTCAAAACAATTCCTCCACTTAATGCGATCTAGAACTTTCTCCTTCAAATGACAGTATCCTCTTCTGTTCCCAAGGTCATCCAGCATCTTCTTACGTCTTCTTCCTCGTCTTCTTGTCACTTCTATCCGCCCATCTATCTTTCCTTCGATAGCTTCTTTTAGAAGGCAGTTTCTGCGTAAAACATGACCAATCCAATTAGCCTTCCGTTTTCTTATTTCATGTAGGATATTCCTCTGCTCACTGACTCTAATTAACACTTCTTCATTTCTCACATAATCGGTCCAACTGATCTTCTCCATTCTTCTCCAACACCACATTTCGAAACTTTCCAGATGTTTCTGATCTACTGCCCTAAGTGTCCATGTTTCAGCCCCATACAGAGCTATGCTCCAAATGTAGCATTTCACTAGTTTCTTCCTCAAATTTAAGTCCAATTTGCTGGTAAAAAGATTCTTCTTCTTGCTAAATGCAGCTTTTGCCATGGCAATCCTGGATTTAATTTCACAAGTACACCTTCCATCATCTGTTAACAAGCTACCCAAATATTTAAAACATTTCACATTCTCCACTTGTTTTTGGTCTATCTTTATTGTGACTGGGGTTGGTTGTCTCGAAATTTTCATTACTTTTGTTTTCTCCACATTCATTTCCATGCCATAGCACCTTCCAATTTCAATTAGTCTATCAATCATGCCCTGTAGCACAGTTTCTTCCTTAGCCATTAACACAAGGTCATCTGCATATTTCACAGTTTGAATAATTTGCCCTCCTACTTTGAAGTCACCGAGCCCATCCAGAGCTTCCTTGGTAAGGCATTCGCTGTACAAGTTGAACAGAATTGGTGATAAACAGCATCCTTGTCGAACTCCTCTTCCAATCTGCACACTTCCTGTCTCCCCCCTGTCCAGTCGTACTCTAACTTTCTGATCCATGTACAATTTGCTAATCAATCTTCTTTCATGCCAATCGATACCTGTTTCTTTCAGGATCTGCATTAATTTGGTCCAGTTTACCCGGTCAAATGCCTTCTGCCAGTCTATGAAGCAAACACACAGTTCTTCATCTATCTCCAAAGTTCGTTCCGCTATAATTCTCATCATCCCAATTGCATCCCTGGTTCCTTTTCCTCTTCTAAATCCAAACTGATCTTCTCCAAGTACATCCTCTATTTTCCTTTCAATTCTTCTTTTAAGTATCTTTGCTATTATCTTTGCTGTATGTGCAATAAGACTTATTGTGCGATGGTCGCTGCATTTTGTAGCTTTTGTCTTTTTCTTTAAGGCAATCATTGTAACTTCTGTAAAGTCCTTGGGCCACTCTCCACTTTCATATATGGTGTTCATTAGTTTTGTCAGTGTTTTCAAACCACCTTCTCCCAGTAACTTGAGCACATCTCCAGGTACATCATCATCTCCTGTAGCCTTTCCCTTCCTCATTTCCTTGATAGCTTTTTCCACCTCACTTTGTAAAATATATGGTCCTTTCTCGTCTGTATCTACTTCTTCTTCCGGTTCAACTTCTAAGGTTTCTGGCCGATTAGGTCGATCATATAGTTCTGAAATATAATTTTCCCAAATTTTCAGCACTTGCCTCTGATCTACTATTCTATTCCCCTGGGAGTCTTCGATGCCAACATTTTGAATCCCATGATTCTCTTTCCATCCTAGTTCTTTTGTCTTCATGTACATCAAATCATAACGGCCTGTTCTTTGAAATTCCATAATCTCATTACATATCTTCTCAAGATATTCCTTTTTGGCCCTGTCCGTGGCTCTTTTCAATTCATTCCTCAGTAAAGGTCAACATTTCAACAAAATTGATATTTGTCATCACCGTAAGGAACACGACTTAGAAGTCTGTGCAATTTTACTAGTAACTGAAACAGTTAACCTAATGGCATTAATTCTGTACAGAGCTCCTACAGGAGATTTTAATTAATTTTTAAAGAGACTAGATGCAATTTTAAAGCATCTGTGCAGTCCAAAATCTGAGATTATAATCTGTGGAGACATAAACTATCTAAATGAAAGCAACCATAAACAATAATTAAACACACTACTACAGACGTACAATCTGTCACACACTGTGAATTTTGCAACAAGAATTCAAAATTCCTCAAGTACAGCCATTGATAATATTTTTATAGACAGTGTAAGATTGAGCTCGTCTTACACATCTCCCATAGCCACAGCCTAGCAGACCCTGATGCCCAGTTTCTCACACTAAGTGATGCAGTCACAGAGGCTAATTTAACACCCTTGAAAATGAGAACCAGAAGAATAAATAATGAAACCATTGCTCACTTTCAGTGTCTATTGGAGAATGAAACATGGGAACCTGTTTTTGAAAATAAGGATAAGGATATAAACAAAGTTTATTCTTTTTTACATATCTTTCTAAATATCTTTGAAGCTAGTTTTCCAGTTCAAAATAAAAGTGTGTGGCAGGACATAAGAATTTTGGGTGTAAAGAACTGGACGAATGTAGCTTCGAATGGAGAAGAATAGCAAGCAATCCTGAGGAAGGCCAGGGCTCACAAAGGGCTGTCGTGCCAGTGATGATGATGATGATGATGATGATGGTCTGTGCCATATCAGAGGAAAGTACGAATCAGGTCTTCCCAGAATTTCTGGTTTTAAATGGAAGACAAGAGATGAACAACATTTATTCACACAGAGGATCACCTGGAAGCCTATAAAGAAGTGCTAAGCTACATTCAGAGTGTATTACTGCATCTGTGCTTTCCTGGTGTCATGTTTCTCAAAAATTGTAACTATTATGGTTTAAAAACATAACACAATATAATAAGTATTTTTAACAGAGAAGTACTACCTGAATGTGTTTAACCCCTTAAGCGTGTGCGACGCACCATTTGCGTCCGCTCAGTTACATGCATCTAGCGTGCATTTATGCGGGGGTATTTAAATCCCTCCCGGTGCTTTATTTTCGCAAGCATTGAAGGTTTTGTGCAGACATTTACCTAAATATTTTTAAATAACAAAATCGCTATTTGAAAAATTCCAAAAAATTATATTATATTTACAATTGTTTACAGTTCATTATTATAAATGTCTATATACATTTTGTCAAGCTATTTCTTTTTCCCAGCTCTCCATATCCAGTGGGTAGTGGTTGACCTTGGTGTGGTATTGCTCAAAACAAGGGTCTAGGCAGAGAGACGGTGTCCCTGGGCAGTTTTTACACCTGTATCTGGTTTCTTTTCTCTTTCCGTTTTGTGTACACACCACAAACCTTCTTCTTCCAACTTTATAAATTTCGGTTTTGGGATTTTTTTGAATGAAATACTGACCCGTCAATCTCTACATTCCATGTCGGTATCTGAAGGGCTCCCTTTGCGCTTTTCTAAATTCTGTCCATGGGAATTTGCTATGATCTTATTCACTAAGTTTATTCTGAATAACAGATGATCTTTCTTGTTACCAGCCTTGCAGTACAGAATGTAATCATTCAACACTGTCATATCTACTAAGTGGTTGAATAATTTCTTGTACCACACTTTTTGCCTTTTCCTTTCTAGCAAGAAGGTTTCTAGTAGCTGATCTTTCAAGTTCTTCAGTTCCTCCCATATATTTATTATACTCTATTACACACATAGGTTTATTTACAAATTCTAACCCACCCTTTCGACTTACGGGTTGCATTTCGTCTGAATGTTTAGTA